CCCCCGTGCTTTTGCCCCCCCCCCCCCCGACCCCTCAGCCAAAATACGCCACTGATTGGGAGTCTTTTTGACTCCCAACGCCGCCCCTCCTCCCCCACTCCCCCGAAGGAAGAATAGCCAATTCCTAGCGTCAGAGATGACACCGAAACGGAATGCATTTACACTTTCTGAAGTAAAACTGAGGGTGGCATCAATTATTGCGTCTTACATTCAGTCACGTTTTGGCGCCCCAGGTGAAATTTGCGCCCTGTGCGGGGGCACATGTGGCACGTGCCTAAGGCCGTCAACACTCTTCCATTAATTCCAAAAGGCTGCTCATAGAATGGAAGAGTTTATTCAGAAATTCAATAAATAATGAATCCTTGCTGGTCCATAAAGTGATAGCATCTTGTTAGGTCATTTTCTTAATCCTTCATTTGTTCATATTCTCAAGCATCTTAATGATTGATAAGGTTTTTTTTTTTAACCCTTCCAGGCTCTTGCTATTCAGCACCTTCCAGAGCCTGTGTGGGGTATCCAAGCTACCACAGTCTATTTCAGAGACTAGGGAAGCATAAGGCTCCACACAGCATGTAATATTTCTTATCTTGATTCTGACCAATTATAAACTGCATCTTTCATTTCCACATCAGGAGATGAAGCATGAGGAAAAAGTTTCACAGAGATACTACAGAAAATTTCAACTGGGGTATTAAAAGTACCCCACACAGGCCTGGGAAGGTGAAGGACAATAAGGACCGTTTTTCTCACTTTGGATTAAGTTATTTTTGCTTGTATTGGGTTTTGTGAACTCCTGTCTTTCATGGCCCTGCTGGATGTGGTCATTTTTCAGTCCTCAGTTATCTAAATGGAATCACTAATCAAAACTATGTTCTAGTTGATAGATTCCAATAAAACAGTTTATGATGGCTTTTAAAACCCTGAAGTCCTTGCCCGTGCAAGTAATACTGTATGCAAATCTCCCAACCTCCTGCTTTCTAATCATGCATTAATAGTTGAAAACTCATGTTTTATTTTCAAGATGTAGTAAAAATAAATGTGTTGTTTAGAGGACATGATTTAGCGATACTCTTGGTAAAAAAATATAAAAGTATCAATATGGAAAAATCCCTAGGTGCCGCCTAATTGCTACATCTATAGAGTTCTCCAATGGGAGAATGTATCTTAATTTTGGGAAAGTATTTTTCTGGGATTCTTGACATAAGAATTCCTGCAGGGTTATGGAAAGTAGCTCTTTAAAAGGCAGGGAGTGACCAGGGCCCATTGATAGATCTATTGAGGGTCAGGTTTTTCCAGAGCCTCTCGAAACTTTAGAAGCCCAAAAAAAACAGCACTAATAATCTATTAGAGTCTTCAGAAGTCTTTTGATTACCTGCAGTGATTCTGAAGAGGTGGTCCACATTCATACTCCTGAAATGCTGACTTGATCTACCCTGGTACCTCTTTTATTAATGGTTGAATGTTGATGGGGGGAGGGGGAAAAGTCTCAAGTGCTGAGAGTCCTTGGTATTCACAGAGGAGTAACAAGTGAGGCAAGAAGGATGGCTTGGCGATCACATGGGAAAGATAATGCTGATATGGTTGCAAAACTCCAAAGCAATGGCATAATCCGGGATGAGCGTATAGTGAAGGCAATGCTTGCTGTTGATCGCAAACATTACTCCAAATACAATCCATACATCGACTCTCCTCAAGGTATGTTCTTGATGTACATCTTTTGAGAATCTAAAACTTGTGCATTTCATGCTGCATGAACCAAAGAAATCCAATGTTCTCATTGGAATAACTCCCATAGTCTCCAATATCTAATGCCTTCCAGCGTATGGAATCTTTCCCCAGCTGTATATATTCAATAGAGGAAACATTTGAGACAAACTCTAATTCCTTGAAAATGTTAAAATTAGCTTTTGTGAGGAAACAAAACAGCTTCTGGAGATGTTTTCCAAGAAAACACTCAGTTGCCATGAAAGTTGTTTCCATTGAGGTGCTTGTTGAATACAATGGAATCCCCACAACACCGCAACTTTAGATAGCAAATGTCTGATCGTTCTCTGAACACATCAGGACATCATGCCCTTTTTCCACTCTGCTACTTGGATTGTTCATGTCTAATGAATACAATAATCCTCACAGGATTGCTCATCTCCAGCTTTGGCCCTGTTCTTGTGCTATTTTTGAGCTGGATGAATGAATAGATATGAACAAAAATGCTTCCCATAGAGAAGCTAAAGCAAAAAGGCTTCCACTTGTACAGGTCTTTGTTATGTAGTCAGTGGCGTAGCATGGTTGGCATGGGCCCTGATGCAAGGAATGAAACGGGGCCCACTCCAATTTCTAACTATTGAATTATGTGGGAGTCATTTTTTTTGCTAGATTTTCTCCGGCAGCATATAAATCGTCAGCATAGTCAGCATATAAATCGTCGTCGGTATCT